CCACGGGATGCAGCAGAGGCCCTGCGCGCCTGGCCTCCCGGGCCTGCTGGTCCCTGCCCCCTGCCCCCTGCCCGCACCACAGGGTCCCCCTCCACCGGAGCTGCGTCCATCCATCCACTCCTCCCTCCCTTCACTCGCCCGCCTCAAGCTGCTCTGACCACTGCTGTCCCGACTCCCAGGGACTTCCACTCAGTCACGGCCACGCTCCTTCTCGAAGGCCCGTCCATGCTGGCTCCCGCCCCTGGGCCTTTGCAAGGCTGCCCGGTCCAGTCCACCCCTCAGGAGGCCACGCAGGTTGGCTGGCCACCCTGGCTCTGTGCTCTCTCACACTCCCCTGCTTCTTGCTGGTGTTCCTCAGCCACTCGGCTCCATGTAGCCCAGGGAAGAAGAGTGCCTCTAAGAGGGCAATAGTGGGATCAGTGTATTGAGGGCACCGAGGTGCAGATGGGCAGAGCCTCATGGGCAGGGTCTCACAGACGGGGCAGGGCCTCATGGGCAGGGCCAGCCCTGGAACAGCCGCCTGAGTCCCAGGCTCTGAGCCCCGCTGTCCTGTCCTGCCCGGCACTGTATCTCCTCCAGTCCCCTCTGCCCCGTGGGATATGCTCAGGCCTCTGCACAGGTGGGCCCCTGGGCCTAGACTCTGTGCTCAGCTCCCTGCTCCCGCCTCCCACTCCTCCAAGGCTCAGCCCCTCCCTGCTGAGCCGTCTGCCCTCCAAGGCGTCTTTATCCCACTAGGGCAGTCAGGCCCGGGCAGCTGGAGAGCCTGTGGAGAGCTAGGGTGGGCCAGTGCGGAGAGCGCTGTCCTCAGGGAGGGGGTGGTGATGTCCATTCTGGGAAATAGCATCAGCACTGGGAGTGCCCGTCACCATGGCGACCTGTGGACAGGAACAATCAAAGGGACGCTGTGGTGTGTGCAGAGGAGGGGGTGAATGGGGGAGGGTGGGTGGGGACACATCGTGCCCTGAGGTCTCGAGTGGGAAATGGGGGAAGGGTGCCAGTCTTTCCACCACCTCACTCCCAGGCTCAGGGCTCAGGGTCTGAGGGGCATAAGGGCTGGACCTGGGGGACCCCCCCTCCCCAATCAGAGCATCCTCTTCTTGAGGAATTGAGATATGGAGAGACCGAGAGAGACAGAGGGACAAAGGCAGAAGGTCAGAGAGAGTCACAGAGAGCCAAGCGCCCCGCTGTGATGCCAGAAGGCCTGGCCCTGTTGGCAGGCTTGGGAAACAGCAAGCAGCTACTTGTGTGAGCAGAAGAATTAACGTGGGGACTCCAGCACAGCGAGGTGGGGGGTCCCAGAAGGCATGCCCATGGGCTGCCGGGCACCCCTAACCCCCAACCCCCAGGAGGCTGCGCAGGAGGAAGACAAGTTGGACAAGGGCCCCATTACTTCTTGGAGCTGGTTCTGTTCTTAATTCAAGCTTTCTCTGCAGCCTGTCTTGTTGATTTTCTAAATGGGAGAGAGATGAAGCCAGCAGGGAGTGTGTAATGTTTGCACGCGGCAGAGCTGTGCCTGTTTTTAAAAAGGCTTTGTTAGGAGATGCTGATGAATGAATGAAGCTCCGTGTCTGGGTATCATGAGTGAGCCTCAGCCCTGGAGTGGGGTCTCTGAGAAAAAGAACCGCATGTGGCCGGGGTGCCCCAGACGTGTACTTGCCTGGAGAGCTTCCCTTCTCTGAATGCTGTACCGACTCCTTCATCATCCATCCATCCATCCCCTTCTCCCTGAGCATCTTCTGTGCTGGAGCTTTTGGGGGCATCTGTGCCTCGTCCGGTCTCATGAAAGCCTGTTATTACAGCATCATGGATGCTGAGAAGTCTATTGTGTTCAAATAAATGGCCAAGAGGAAGCTATCCGAGGAAGCTGTGGGCTTCTCTGCTTTCCCCATGCCTGTCCACAGCTCCACACATGGCAGCTCCAGACATGCGAGCCTCTCGGCAGCTTCTATTGAGTGGACAGCACATGATGAGGACCTGGATGATGGTGGCAGAAAAGGCTGTGAAGTGCATCCTGCCCTGGAAGCATGCTCCTGGGGGAGACCCCCCAAAGTCACACATGCATACACACGGACCCCCCACACACACAGCTGTGTCCACACACCTTACTATGCACCCTGTTGCCTGTCTCAGACACCCACATCTCCAGCCCTGAGAGGGGTGCCCATCGAGGCAGACACGGAGGGGGCTAGTGCAGAAGCCACTGAGGGGACTGGCACGAGCGTGGGATTGCAGTCCCCCCTGAGCCTCCCGAGCCGATCCCTCTCCATCTGTCGCGTGAGGATGGACAGTCTGTAAGTCAGCACACACACACCGAGCTCCCGGTGAGCTGAGCGCAGGCTCTGGAAATGAGTGAGGCTCTAGCTGGAAACCAGTTGCATTCGTTGCCATTCGCTGCAGACAAATGACCCCACAACTTGGCTGCTTGAAACCATTGTTACCTCGAAGTTTCTGTGGTCGGGAGTCTGGTTCACCGTAGCTGGCCTCTGGCTGAGGGGCTCTGACAGATGCAGTCCAGCTGTCAGTCAGGGCAGCTGTCATCTCAGGCTGAGCCGGATCGGAGAATCCACTGCCAAGCTCACGCGCGAGGCGGAGGGCAGGAAGCGGAGGATCTTGCTGGGTGCCGGGTGGAGGCTGCGTTCCCTGCCGCAGGGGCCTCTGCCTTGGCTAAGTGTCCTCGTGGCATGGCAACAGGTGACCTCACTGAGCGAGAAAGCCCAAGACATGCCTTTTCTAACGTTTCACGACAGTGTTTTATAACCTGATCTACGAAGTGTCACGCCATCACTTCTGGCTGTGCATCCTTTGTCACCCAGACCAGCCCTGGGACAAGGCGGACTACACCAGGGTGTGGATGCCAGGAGGTGGGGACCTCTGGGGCCCTGATGGAGCTGCCACCACTGTCAAGTCTCAGCCCAGTAGAAAGCACTGTTGCCGTTCTGGTGGCTGTGGGCCACTGTGCACTTAGTTGGGCTGCCGACATCGAGGTCCTGTTCCCACCCCAGGCTCTCCCCAGCGCCTTGCAGGTGTGCGTGGTCAGGGAACAGGTGTCTGGCGGGGCGTCCGGTGCCTGAAGAGATGGACTGAGATGGGCGTGCGGGCTGAGGCCGTGGGGGAAGCGCAGCAGAGGTTTGGCCTGTTCCCACCTCACGCAGCATGTGGTCCCCGCCCCATGGCCCTCTCTGTGAGGAAGGCTGAGGAGTCGGGGGGCCGTGGCTCCACCGCCTGTTCTTCATGCACCCAGACCAGCCTCGTTCCACACCTTCTGGAAAGTGTGGTTTGGGCCAGGCTCAGAGAGGGGCTGCAGGAGGGGGAGGCCAGGAAGAAGAGGCTGCTGGGTGGGCGTGCGGTGGCCCCAGCCTGCCAGCCCCTCTCCCCTCTCTCTCCCTCTGCTCGTAGGTGTTCCCTTGCTGTTTGTCATCCCCTGGGGCATTGTCAAGTACCTCTATGAGGACGAGGGGTGAGTGTGCTGACGTCCCTGTCCCCAAGCCCCGTGTGGTTCCTTGGCCCCTGGGGCCTGCGGCTGGGACCTGTTGGGAGGATAAACTGAGGGACCAGAGCTGAATTTCCAACTAGTTCTCTCCTGCCCTGTCCACCCTCCGCGGGGTTGTATGAAGACGAATGGTGCGGGGCCTGTGGGGAGTGTGGCGCCCCCTCCAGGTTCTTCTGTGAGAACTGAATGAAGTGTTTGCTGCTTTGTGTATGGCGCTGGGTACACACATGCCTGTGTTCACGGGCTCACGTATCTC